AAAAAAAAAAAAAAAAAAAATTTAAGTAATGTAATCTCTTGTAAATAATGTTGTTTAAATAAATTTAATCAGCCGGGCTCGGTGGCTCAGCCTGTAATCCTGCGCCTTTGGGAGGCTGAGGTGAGTGGATTGCCTGAGCCCGCGGGTTCGAGACCCGCCTGGGCAATTTGGCGAGACCTCATCTCTACAATAAACCATAAAATCAGCCGGGCGTGGTAGCGCATGCCTGTAATTCTGGTTACTGGGAAGGCTGAGGCGGAAGGATCACCGGAGCCCAGCAGGTCGAGGCTGCAGTGGCTGGGAGCGGCCACTGCACTCCAGTCTGGGCGACAGAGTAAGACTCCAACTCAAAAAATAAATAAATAAATAAATAAATAAACTTAATCGTTAAAAGCATCTAAGGTAAAGAACAAGACCTAACAGAAAAGAGATCATGGGACCATAGGAACACTCAGAGAGGATCCAGAAAGTCCTAAGAGTGGGTTCAGTGGCAAAATTAGCCCCTCATGTCCTTCTAACTAGACCTCACTTCCTTCGAACTCCTATTTTCACCGGCTCTGACTTGCATTTAGGATATGATGATGTGGTGGGCAGCATGGCCACGTCTACAGGAGGTAGAAGGGAAAGGCTGGACCCAACATGCTGGAAAACCAGAATTTCCTACCACCAAGAGACTATCATTTCAGGTTAGAGGTCCCATGAAAACCTCTTCTTTCCTTATTAATGACATTCTCCTGCATCACAGCACTGAGGGCCGGTCCGAGCTGGCTCGCCTGGCAGATGGCTAGCCAGACAAGGCTGGTGCCCAGTAACCACAGGGCAATCCTCCAGACCCAGAACGAGGTGATGTGGCTGCAGAGCAGGCTTCTGAATACTACAGCCTACCACCCTCCACCAGGGAATGGCAGGGAATGCAGCTGGGCCAGGCCGCAGGTCTGAGTCAAGCACTACAACCAACCCCAGCTGCAAATGGAAGATCAGCAACTGCAAGTACCTAACACAAACAGGACAGAGTGCTGATCACAGAAAGGCAGCTCCACAGAGCCAAAAATAGCCTCGCTTGTTTCAAGAGGACTCTAACAAACCAAGCACATACAACTCCATCAGCAGAAAAAGAAAATCAATGAAGCAGAAAACCAGATCAGCTTAACAGGGACTAGGATTCCAAGAGATTCCTGGCAGCCTCACACACCTTCACACCCACACACCCATCCTTTCCTTACCCCAATGACAAACTATGCCTAGATCAAAAACCTAGTCCCATCACCCCAAATGCCTAATGGTATCTGTATACAGCAAAGAAGTTACATGTACGATCCCCTAGGTTTAATCTTAGGGCCGGGGTCTGACCACAGATTGGGAACCCCAAATAAGCACCTGCAGGGGTTCACTCTTGGGAAGATGAGGAGGCAGGTGCCCACTGGAGAATCAGCAAATGAGGCCGGGTTATGATGCACAAAGAAAGCTGTGGGAGAGTAATGATGGGTGAAGTCTCCCATCAAAGCCAGGCAGATCAGAACAGGCGTGGCTCTGCTTCAGACCCAGATAAAAATCTTCATCCAGTTGATTTTCAGTGGCCCACTGAGTCAGAACTGCCTGTCATCTCACTTCCTTCTAATTCCTATTCTCACCTGCTATGACTTGCTTGTGGGCTGCTGGTTAGCAAGCAAACCTGACACTTCTATGTTTATGGCCTGGGAGCAGCTAGCACATCTTGGGTTCCCCAAACGTGTCATATAACTCCTCCAGGGCAGGAACAGTAGGATGGTGGGGAATGCCCCAGACACAGATCAGTCCCCACTAAGAGCATCTGATCTAGGTGCCAGAGACGACTCTGGCTTTATATCATCCTCAATGCCCAGCGTGGAGATCACAAGGCAAGGTGGTGACTGGCCAGGGCACCCTCCTCCCAACTCAAAAGCTATGCTTTCATAAGGAGCACGCTGCTCTAGAACCAAAGGAAAAAGCCACCTCCCATCCCACCCCCCCAACCCAATCCCATTTCAAATATTGACTCTGCATGCATTCATTAGGAAGGAAGGGAAGGAGTCTGTTCAGGCGCAGGATCAGCTGAACCAAAACAGCATCAGAAAATCACTCAAAAAAGTATCTGCCCATTCTCTGGTCTGCAACTTCCCTTTATGTATCCCCTACCTCTCAATGGCATTCTGCCCCAGTGCAGGTGTGCCCACGCAGGGTGGCGCATGGTACCCACCTGCGTCTCCATGGAAAGTGCTGTCCCCATCGGTGGGCCAGATCTGTCCGGTCTTACGGACGCCCACAATGGTGGCCTCGGACACGACAACCTGGCAGTGCCGGTGCCGCTTGTGACACTGGGGCGTGGGGGGACTGCTGCTGTCGAAGGACTGCTGCGAGTTCTGCGAGGGCGAGCGGCTCTTTTCCCGGAACATGCGGTAGGTGGTGGGGCTTGGGGACACGCGGCTGGACTGGCCAGAGGAGAAGTCCTCCTCGCTGGAGGTGAGGTTCTCGTTAGAGCTGCAGTCCGGGGTGTAGCCGCCTCCGCAGTCCTCAAAGCTCCGAGGAGAGTAGGATCTGCGAGGCCAGGTGAGGCGCTTCTCCTGCTCCGAGGTGCTCTGGCTGCGCAGGAGCTGGCCCTTGCCCTCCCCTTCCATCATGCCCCCAACGTAGATGCTCTGGTAGGGCTGGTACTCCAGGGGCGGCCAGGGTGGCCTGCTGCCGCCGTTGGCGTTGATGAGGTTGTCCTTCAGGAAGCGGGGGTTCAACTCCGCGTCCTCATAGTCGCCGTCGAGGCCGCAGCCACTCTCCGAGGAGCGCCCCCGGTGAGGGGGCCTGGGTGCGTCCGCCAGGCCCGACCCGGCGCCCTGCTGGGACTTCTTGCGCTCCATCTGCATGGCCTGGCTGCCCAGGGAGCTGATCCGGTCCGACACCTCTTTGTCGTTGACCTTCACCAGGCCGCGCTCGTGGTGGAACTCGACGTTCACGTAGAAGGGCTTCTCCGGCTCCGCCGCCCCGAGCTGGCCATGGCCCTTGCGGATTCTCTCGAAGTTGGACCTGAGCGCCGCCACGCTGGTGGGCCCCCCTCGTTCG